AATCTTACTTTAGCTTGACTCTGCCTTTAAACTATCAACCAGTCTGTTTCTAATATTTATGATACGTAAGCTGCCAGTGACCTGACCTCTGCCCCTGGTGCAAGGAGGAGGCATGTGTGTTCTGCTGGGATCAGGTTCTCCACTTTGGACAAGGGAAGATAAAGGCTTTGTTTAAAAATAAATCCATCACTCTTGGGTTTGTCAGTTGGTACTGTACATTTTCCTCTCTGCCAGTCTGTGTTTACAGGCATAGAAAAGCAAAAATAAATGTATGAGGAAGAGAGAAAAAGGCCAGAATATCAAGTGTCAAAAGTAGCCCATGAAATTTTATTGGTGGTGCATTTAATCAGTGCTAAGCGTTTTTTACAAGGTACATACAAACAGTGGAATTGTAAAAATTTATGGAATGCTGTGTACAGTGTGGCTGTTTATGAAGAAAGGAAAATTTATATCCAGTTGAGGTAAACCAAAGGGGAATGTTTTACAGAGACTCCTTCACAGCAGGGTACATCAAGTGAGATCTGGATAAGGGGAGGATCGGATATTTGCAAGGGCTTACTGATCTTTGAGGTGTTTTTGTGCTTCTTCACCAGCTAACAGTTTGTGTCTTTCTGTGGCTCTCAAGAAAGCAGGATGCTGATGCAGTGATGGTGTGGTGTTTGTGTTTTGCTGTACAATGGAAAGGAAACACAAGTGAACAGCTGCTACTGGTATCTGTGGTACAAGGCTCTTGCTCTTGGGCTCGTTCCAGTACAACAGTTTCTTGAGCAGCCTTTAATATCCAGCTGGGAAGGGTTAACTGAAGCCAATCACTCTGACATCAGCATTTTTTTGTTTCCTTTTTGGTCCAGTATTTTGTTGATGATAAAGCACAGACTTAGTCAATTGAGAGATTCCAGAGCTGCAGAATCAGAGATAATTTAATTAACGGAATTGCTTGTGATTGCCCACTGGGACAGCGGGTAGGAATTGCTCGATTTAATTTGGAGAAACAAAGATCACATGCATGCTAATGTTTAACAAATAACCAGTGTTTGGGTTAAAGTTTTTTTGCAAAGAGGGGGGCAGCCGTTTCCCAGGGGAGATTTCCCAGGAGGATCATTGCTGCCTACTGGCTCAAAGCTATGGATAGGTCCTTTTTCCTTTTCCATGGTATTTTTGTGCACTTTTTCTTCTGGCCTTTTACCTGAACAAAGCAATGATTTGATCAGGCAAAGAAAGTTTGTTCTTATTTTCAGTGTTCAGGGGAAGATGCTATGAATATCAGAAAAATGTGCATTGGGCACAAAGGCTGAAAATTATCACATTCTGTCTGCTCAGTCTCACAGACTTGCTCCCTGGTACACAGCATCCACAGCTGTGACTGCCAAGTTGTGGAAGAGTTAACCACAATGTCCAGAGAAAATTACAGGATTCGGTCTCCTCCACGAAATGCTCTCCCTTCTTCTTCTTGGTTTTGTATAAACGTTCTCTCTCAGGGCCCCTTTTTGCAGTGGTATAGGTCCATAGTCTCTGTTCTAGCATGGATGTGTCCAGTTGATACATTTTCAGCCAGGGAGGACAGTTCAGGTATCAGTGAGGTGCTTGTACCTGCTGAAGGAGCATTGGTGCTGGATCTCAAGGTATTGCTCTTGGCAGCAGTTCTGCTCAGCAGGTCTCTCTGGAGGCTGATAAATGACGTTATCCAAACACATCAAATCAGAGCGCCAAGGCACAAAATTGTTAAGAGTCCTGCATCCAGCATGAGATCAAAGCAAAGCAGGGAGCCAATTTCTTCTCTATAATTCCCTCTGCCTCACTTGGCAGGGTAACTTGTACACAGCCTTACCCTGGGCATGAAGCTTGGCTTTCTGACCCTTGCTCCACCCCAGCATTACCCTGTAAAAATACTGCGCAGAGCTGCTCCCAGCTGCGTTCGGGCAGGCACACAGGAGGTGTGCACACAAGAGGGAAGCCTGAAGGAGTTCCCAAGATTGCTGCTGCAGGAAGAGTTGCTCCTAAGCGATGCTTATCTTTAGGATGCAAGCAGCAGGTTGACGGTAAAATGGCACTAAATGGAATGGCATGTGTCCCAAGTGTGCTGGCCACCACGGGAGCCAGACACATGGGAAGTGACTCTCGTCTTTATTCCATCCCTGGAGGTAGTTCCAGTTTCCTTTATTTACTACTGTTCTCCCTATTTCCCTTGACCTCATTTCCTCCAGCTTTTCGGAAGCAACCATGCAATTATCGCTCACTTTGGGTTGACCCTTGGCCACCACGTCCCTTGTTGCTGCTGCTCTGATAGGTTTTCCTGAAATCTCAAGTGCAAAATACTGACTTGTGGCCAAGACTCCTATCTCTGTTGTGAGATAAAAGCTGCGTCTTCAGCAGTGCGCTGTGAGCAGGATTTGTCCTGTGAGCAGGACTTGGCAGGGAGAACATGGAGTTTAAATTCTGTCATAGCTGAGCTTTGATCAGTTCTGGGAGATACTGCAGTGGCTAAAGCTCCCTCTCTTACCAATGCACCCCAGTCTTGTTAATAAATGTATATTTAACAATGTCTGGAGCGTATGAAGTGATAATAACTAAATCAATACCTCCCACATTGATTGTCCAGGATCCCTACAGCGTGACGCACACAGCGGTGCGGTAATTTTCCAGCTAACTAGCACCCTGATCTACAGCCCTCCTATTGATTGGCCATTGTATCAGGCAGCCTCTGAGCATTATTGCTTATACCTCTATTCAGCCTCCTTTTCTGATTCATTCGTTTATTACTGGACAGGTGCGATTATCTCAGAGACTTTCCGAAATTGGCCGATGGGGGTCAGCCATTTAGATTTCTATAAACAAGTCATTTTCTATCTCCTCTAGTTGTTGCAGTGGCAAATTTTTCCTTTTCAAGACTGGGGATGAATGGGTCTTTGCTTGGATCTGCTGAAGAAATGAACTTTTTCCTCTCCTTTCTGAGTCACCTGCCCTTCAGAGATGGAGATAGCTCCAGTGATAGTAAAAGGACAATTTAGCAAGGGTTGAGGTTCTGCTTACCACCTGCTTTGAGCAGCAGTCACACTTGCTGCCTTTACACCTCCAGTGCGCTTGTGCATGCAGGGAGGAGAAATGGATTCCAGGAAGGCAAATTCAACTGCAGCCTTCACCCAGCATCAGCTTTTTGATGGGCCAGACTGGAAGAGAAACAATTTTCTGAGCCAACAACAATCTTCCTTGGACAAAACTAACACCTTTCTAGACTTTTTTTAAAAATACTATCAACTCTTTATTGGGGGTGAGAACTCAAGCTGGGATATGGTAATAAGTTACACTGATGAGTAGGAGCAAGTGGGTGTTTCACAGCAGGAAGCAGTGTCTCCTACTGAAGTTCTTTCATCTTGCTCCAAAGAGTATTTATTGATTCCAAGACTTGAATCCACAGTGTCCCTGTCCCCAGGCAGTCCTCACCCACTAGGTTATCATGGGACAAGTGTATTTCTTTGCCGTTTTAAAATTGTTACCATTTCCTAGCAACTGTCACTTGCAATGAATCTCCTTCTGATGGAGGTCTCCTTGTTAGCTCGTGCAGAGTGTGTCTGATCTGTACAAAGGCAGGAGGGAAGTTGAAGGAGCTTTTTAGCACTGGTACTTAGCCATATGCACTCCTGCAGGTCCACCTTCTTCTGAAGTGTCATAATTAGAAAAATCACCCAAGATCTCTTTGACTAGCTGTTTCCAAAGCCATGGGAAAAGTCATCAGAATCACCTCGCAGGAGATACCTCAGGTCTCTCCCTGTGTGCCGGTGACAAGTGACTAATGAACAAAGGAGCAAGTGCATGCATGCAGTAGGAGTGCTGAGATTGCAGCTCACTTTACTGGTTGTTGTAATTCCACTAGACCTGTGCTTCAGCCACCTGTTGATGAACCATCCTCTCAAAAGGCAGAACACATACATGCCACTGTGGGTTATGTCCTGGTTGATGCTGGCAAGGTACTCTTTGGGTTCTTCTCAGCTGGAGTCTGCTTGGACAGGCCTGAGATTCACTGACAGACATGAAAATTGGTTTGTTTTTATTCACAAAAGTGAAAGCCTTAATGTCAATGCTCTAAACCTTTTCTGGGGAGTGTTTGAGGGCCCCTCCCTACACCTGCACTGTGTAGAAATCTGATTTTCCAGCATGCCATAGTGACTGTAGTGCTCCCTGCATCTCATTTGATAAGCATTGCTGTCTGCCCTTGCTTTTAGGTTGGCAAGTTTCTCTTTTCACCAGCCTTGCAGAACCATGAAAATACACTCGCCTGCCCTCAGCACAGCACCTCTGTGACAAAAGAGATAATGCTGCCCATCAAAAATGACCCTAGGAAATGGGAAAGCAGAGATTGTAAAGCTGACTTTATAGCCACCCTGTTGGCACAGTGTCCAGTGCTTTGGGCTTTTTTCTGTACTCTCTGGGTTTTTTCAGTATTAGAACCCAAAAAGCTAAGACTTTCTGTAATATAAAAGCATTGTGTTGATCCTGTGTAATGAGCTGGTTTTGTATTTCATGAGGTTGATGGCCAGCAAAGGCCTCTAGTCTCTAAAGGAAAGAGCAGCGCCTATTGCCCACAGAAAGTTAATCTCATCAGCTTTAAAACAACATACAGAACTTTGTCTCAAGCATGTGATCCTAAGTAATCTCTTAAGGGAGACAAGAAAAAAGGCAGGAAAAAAAAAGCCAGGAAAAAAAAAGCCAGACAAAAATACCTGCTATTTAAATGTCTGTGTATTGTGGAAACTTGCTGTGTATGAAGCTGGCAACCCCAACACCATTTGTGTTCTTTTGTGATGTGTTTGGAAGTGTTTAGTAGGACACTTTAAAGAATTCACACTGGGCTTTTCAGGAATTCTTCTTCTCTCCAGGCTGGATGTATTAGTTTGAATATGATGATGTTTCCTGTGCTGTACCTGTTGTGGGATCCGTTTTCCCCCCAAACTCTTAACAATCTTGTGTGCTCAGTGATGCTCACTCTCCATCTTCCTTTGCAGAATTACAGAAGACTCTGCAGTGACAACATTTGAAGCGTTAAAGGCTCGTGTCCGTGAGTTAGAAAGGCAGCTTTCCCGTGGGGACCGCTATAAATGTCTCATTTGCATGGTGAGTAGCACTCCACTCGTGGTAATGAATCAGAAATGTCTTGGTATCTTTGCTGAGGAGGGGAGAAGCTTTTCTTCTTCTTTCAGGCAGAGTGGGGGAACTCATCACCAGTTAGCCTTCCAAATGGCAGTGGTTCTTAACAGTCAAAATTTCTATATGCATTACTTTGTTCCACTGATATTTGTAGCTGTCCATCTATATCAGGGGCAAGAAAGCCCAAACTTCAGAAGACTTTCAGCCTTCCTGTAGAAAACTCGCAGATACCAGCATCCTCTTCCTGGATGTGCAGATTTACATAGCTAGGAGGGAGCAGAATCTGTGATCAGAGACCACCTTCTCTGATTTGGGAACAGGAATGTTGCCTGAACATGTAAAAGTTTTCGATGTCCTGCTTGCTCTGCAGTGATGCTGTGGCCTTACTAAAGAAGGGCAGCAGCTCCCTCTGATGGTCCAAGTCTGCAGGGCTCTGCATCTCCTGTTGGGTTTGTGTTCTGCTGAGAGCAGGAAAACATGCTGCTTGGTGGAGAGCTCCCTCTGCAACTTGAGCTTGATGCACAGGGTTCTCTCTCACAGCTGTAGGTGTGGGAGTGCAGTCCTTGCCACTCATCCCACAGAAGGGACAACAGCTTGCTGCTGATTCCCAGAGGTTTATTAGCAATGGCAGAAGGCATGTTCACTGAAATAGCAGCAGTATTCTTGGCATGTAGTTAAGCTGTTCCTGCAGAGCTATGAGTTGTGATAAGGGTTGATCTTACCCTCTCACTGGTTTTTGTATGATCTGGTGACCTTTCTGATGAGAATAGTGGCAGGTGGCCACAGCAACTTCAGATGCTTTTGCGATAACTATGCTGAGCCAGGTCACTACTTGAGTGGATTATGGCCTTCCAACAGGAGTTCTGGGAAGCCAAGAAAAGGGACTGCAGAAGACTTTCTGCCTCTTCCATGCAAACGTTGCAAAAATACAAACTTGTATTACACAAGCTTAGTTTTGTAATACAAAATACAAGGCAGTGTTGCCCACAAAGAAAGGCATTGTGATGGAATTGGGAGCAAAGAAACAGTAGATCCCTGCTGTGGAAATAACTTGTTTGCTTCTTCTCCTCAGGACTCCTACACAATGCCCCTGACTTCCATTCAGTGCTGGCATGTGCACTGTGAAGAATGCTGGCTGCGGACTCTGGTGAGGCTCTTGACTACTTTCTTGTTGACTTACAGCCTTTTTTCTCTCTTCTCAGATACTTTATTTTAGATCACCACAGGGAAAGGTGCTTTTGCTTTATTTTAAACAATCTGAGTGCTGTGCATGCAGACTTCCTAAGCCTTGCTGTTTAACATCCCACTGTAGCTTTCATGTGAGTGAGTTTCATTTGAGTCATCATGACTAAAGTGCTATCCTGCCCCTTGATTGTTGCTCCACTGCTGTAGGCACAGCCATTGTACATGGAAGAGCTCTGTGCTGGGGACTACCTTGCCTTACAGTAATTTCCTGTGGGGCATCCATGCAGAGAGGTAAAGCTATGAGAATGGAGGCCAAATCCACTGAGATTTCATGGAATGGGTAGCTACTGAGAAACTTAATATTCCTCTGAGGCAAAGGAAATCATCTTCAGGAGAGAGGATATGGAAGGGAATTTTTATGAATATGAATCTGTATTTTTTAGGTGATTTGAAATAGTACTGTGTAGTTTTCAAGCATATGGTGGTGTGTTTAGAAGACTGGGGACTATCTTGAACATTGAATAGGTGAACCAATAGAGCAGTAATTTATACATTTATTAAAGGACATCAGGTTAAAATTTAAGCTGTTATTAAATCAAGTGTTTTCTTTCCAAATGTTAAAATTGTGGGCTTTATAATCAGCCTTTAATGTCCCCTGTGCAGCTGATTTTCAGGCTTTCATTTGCCTCAGGTTGGAGAGTGGAAAGTAGTCAGTTGTGCTTTCTAGTTCTCCTGTTAGCAAGATAATACAGTGTTCAGTTGCAAAATATGTAAGGGAATGCCACTCCTAAAAACTGTTCCTGTAAGGCATTACTCTACTTTATAGAACAAGTTGTGTGCTTGGAATTACGATTAAGCTGATCGTGCTCCCTTAAATCCTGCCTTTTAAAAGTCTTGTCCAAGAAAAGTTACCTGGATGGTGAAGTGCCTGTGGGCTTGAGTACTAATAGCAACTCAATAACTTGGCTGTCCCGTGGGCTGTATTTTATAGCTCTTCAGCTACACCCCGTTACTATTTAGATTATACAAGCTTTTGTAAACATTTTAGCAGCATGTTATAAAAGACACATATGTGGGTACGTAGCTGTGAGGTGTTTGGATGAATGTGTGCTCTGCCACCTTTGCTCAGTGAAGAGTAATCTTGTCTTTCAGCAGTGCTACAAACACAGGAGAAAATGCTAATTTCCATTTCATTTTCTTTACTCTGAAGTCTTTGTCATCTCCCCACCAGCCTCAAGTCATCTTCTAAATCTGTGGCACCGATTTCAGGCTGTTCTTAGGCTCAGCAGCGACTTTATTCAACTTCAGTCAGGCCCCTTTGTGTCGTGTTCAGCAGTCACAGCTGCTTGTGAGAACAGGGAACCTCACCCCACGTGCTCAGGGGTTAGCATTTCCCTTGCAGAGGGGGAGCCATCTCCCCTTAGAATTCCCTGAGAAAGGTGAGGATGGAGCTGGCTGTGTGTGATCCACACGTGGCTCTTCTGCTGACCAGGCAGGCAGGATAGGAATAGTCCAACAAGACATCATGTTAGGACTTGGCACTTGCATAGGGGAAGCAATTAATAAGTGGCCACTCATGTGTTCCCCAGTCCTAGCCTCTCCCTGCAGCCCCCAATTTATTAAACCAGGCCTTTTCACAAGGCGTGCTTGCACTCCATCTCCCATCTCAAAAAAAAATCTCCCAGCCTGTGTTCGCATGTTTCTAATGTAACCATTAAAATGTAGCCTGAAGACAGCAATAAAAACCCTGGAACGCCTTGGTGCTTTTGTGTCTTGATCAAAGTCAATGTGTGTAATCTCGTTAAGACTGCCCTCCTTCCCCCCTCCTTTTTTATGAATTTAATGGCATACAGCAGCTGGGCTCAGTGTTTAATGCTCACCAACCTGCATTGTTCTAATTAAGGTATCTCCTTTTATTTCGGGCACAAAAGAGACTCTTGTTTTTTTTTAACAAGCGAGGAGCTGTGGGATAGTGTGTGTAATAATCGCTGCTGTTACCTTTCCCTGGGTATAAAGCTGGCTCCCCAGTGGGGCTGGGAGGAGGGAGCCTGCGCGTGCAGCACACATGGAAAGACTTGGCTGGGGGAGAGGGGCAGCATTTTTCTTCTGTTGTGCAATAAACAATTTGTTGGAGTTAATAGGAGTTGGGGCGGGTGGGTTGTGTCAGGCTTCCGGCCCCTTTTGAACATGCTGGAGATCTGCCATCCCTGCTGGTGAAAAGTCCTCTTTCTCCTGTGTGCCTGTGGTTTGTGTGCCCAGCCAAGATCTAATATTAAATTAGAGTGTGAGTTTGTCTGAGAGGACGAGGACTATGTACTGAACAAGGCCCTGGAACTGAAGGCTCAGAGTGCCTGGGAGCACTTCAAATACTCTACAGGGTATTGAAGACAGGGTGAAATTTGATGCTCACATCTGTCTATGGACTGTGGTTTGAGATTTAAACATTGTCTAGGATACGGTGCATCGTAATGATCTGAGCATCTCTAGTGTCCTCTGACTTCAGTGGTGTTTAGGGTACTCATGAGAATTGGGTCTTTAAAACATGTAGCCTTTTTGAAAGTAAAATTTTTAGACTTTTGGCTCTTGATGCTCAATTCCAAATTATAACTGACCTGTTGGTAAGGACAAGTGGGAGACATTTTTAACTACCGACTTTTCAAATGATTGCTGGACTCTCTAAGTAACAGGTACTGTTATACTAGGGCTCAGTGCATCAACTAGCTCCAAGTGCTGGGCTTGAAACATTGACCAGAGCAGACTCCACCTCTGTCTGCTGTTGCTGTGTTGGATTAATGTGATGAAGCACAGACTGGAGTCGCAAAAAGGGACTCTGGAGATGCCTTAAGAAAACTGAGGTCCTGGTGCTTCCTGAGTTGTCCATTGCCTCAGTGCTGCTTGATTAAGTAGGTGGTCATGGAGCAAGGGAGGAATTGTCCCTTCTCCTAGAGTCAGGGCATAATGAGTTGAGTGGGTTTTTTGTCTTTGACCTTGCTCTGTGAGACCTAGGGTTGTGGTCCAGGGCCACAAGCAAAAGACATACTGTACTCTGCATATGCTGTGGGCAGCTCTCTGGTTGTAGGCACAACAGGAATGGAGACCAGGAGAGGGATACAAGAACCTGTCATGTGATGCCATGGGATCACGCCTGGGTTCCCAGGAAATCATATTAGCTGTTTTGTCAGCTGGACTTGTCTGCTGGTTTTGTGTTGCTGCAACAAACCACAGCAATGAGCTTGCTACTACCTCCTTGCTGGTTGTCTGGGGCACTCAACACAGGGACATTTTTCATTCACCCACCCTGTGTGCCGAGACTTCGGTACACAGAAACTGGGACACAGGCCTGGAGTGCCTACTCTGTGATCCCTTTTGGAAACCCCTGAAAACACCTGCAGGCTTCTCAAATAGAGGAAAGGAAATGATGTTGCAGGAGTGAGGCTTAGCCTGGGAGCAGGAGGTGAGATTCATTTCCCTGAATGTCTGCTGTCCTCACAGCGGGTGTCCATCCTCAGCTGGTTGTTGGACTGCACACCCAAGTCACTGGGTGATGGGGAGGAATCTCCCTCTGGAAGAGATTTGTCTGCCCCTTCTCCATCCTTCACCAATAACTGAGAGGGATCCTACAGCTGGCTAGTGGGTGAGATTTGTATTTTCCTTCTCCTGGGAAGAGTGCTCTAACAGGAGAGATTGGCGTTCTGCTGCAGTGCCTTGCTGGGCAGGTTTGGTCTCCATCCTTGGAGGTTTGTGAGAACAGGTTTGATGCATGTCTGTCAGCAGTAATTCAGGGTGAGGTGGTCTTGCCAAGGAAGTGGGTCAGGGAGTTCTTCATGTCCCTCTGAGCTGTTGCTCTGTGGTCTCCCAAACCCTGGAATTCTTTACAAAGTAAAGGGAGTTAGAAGTCAGGCTGTTGTTTTTTAGTGATGGCTGTTGGTGGGAACAGGGGCCAAAAGAAGGCAGGTTTATTTGAGCAGATGCAGTTTGCTGAGTTTCCCCCATCACCTGTACAGCCAGACCCAGCATTTCCCACGTGTGTTTGCTGACCGCAGGCTTGTGCTTGCCTGTCTTGGGCTTATTTGAAAATGACAACTGCTGCAAGAGTAGGAAAAAAATCATTTCTAAAAAGTCTGCATCACAGCATGCTTCCAGGGAATCCATCAATAGATATGTATGCTTTGCAGTTGACACATTCATATCTTTGGTAGATTACTACATTCTTAGCCACTTTTCTGAGGCTCTGATACCATATATCCCATGTGGGCTGGAGTAGTTTTGTATGAAACAGCACAGATACAGAGCAATCCTTCTGGGTGATTCCTTGGCACTACCAGCAACACAGAGACCTCCTGAGCCAGCAGCTGCACAGAGGATGCTGCACATAATCTTTTACCATGTTGCTATCTGCTATGAGGTTGTCTGGTTATCTATTAACATGTTTAGTTTTGGCCTCCAGCAACCTGTGGAGGCGAGCTCCACCCTTTGAGGAGGCTATGTGAAAAAGAGTTGTCCTCCTGGTGGTTTAACTTCTTTACCTGACAGCTGGAGGGAACCCCACAATGGCAGTGGGGAACAGCTTCGTCTCTGGGAATTCACATTTGCAGAGAAGAAGCTGCCACTTCATGTGGAGGCATGGATGGGAGAGGGGGCTTTCACCTTGGTTGGAAATTGGGTCTTGGCATTCGATTCCTCTCCTGGCAAGAGCTGGCTCTTGGTTTGGGTCCTTCCTGTCATGTCTCTACTTTGATTTTGCTTCCTCTACTTGCTCTCTGTGCGTCTCTTTATTTTCTGTGCCTGGTAGCGTATTCAGCTTGGAAATTGCCCATTTTTAGACCCACAGGACAGCAGGAAGTGCCTAAATCTTTCCTTTTGCGTTTTCTTACTTTGGCCAATTTATAGCAGACGTCACACCATTTTTTTTTTAAGAGGCAACTTTAAGACAAACTACTCCAATCCTTCCTGGCACCATGTGAGCCCTAACGACTTTTCAACATCTTAGCTCTAGTTAATGTATTTTTCAAACTACTACCCCAAGTGATTAGCCTGTATTGTGGATCAATCACTTGCCAAATTTTAATTAAGAAAGGAGGAGAAAAAATAAACTCCATCCTGGTTCCAGCCCCATTTCTTTGCTTTGTAACAGCCCTGGAGCAAACTTCTTGCAGCAGAGTTTTATAAACCCCTCAAAACTGGGGTTTATAATGGAAAAGCTGAGGTGGCCTTTACTCTAGCACACACAGCTATAACACATCAAGGCTTTTCCATGTAGTTATGATGAAAGGAGCAGAAGGACCTGGAAAAAAAGAAAGAAAGAAATGGCCGACAGGTGGGACTTATTATTCCACAGCATTTTTATTTCAAGGGAAAAGTTTAGTAACCCCAGCTGGCAGGTGAGCAGTGGGGGAGCAAACGCTTTTTCATTGTGCCTGTGCCAGCATGTGTGTGTGTACAAGCTTATGTGCCTCTCCACAAGAGAGGAGAGCTTAAATGCTGGTGCCAGTAAATGCTGTACACCTACACCAAAAAGTCAGATGTAAGGAACAAGGTTCTGAGCAATTTCAATCTAGAAAGAAAAAATCAGGACTTAGTTCTGAATTTAACACACATGCTTATGTGTGCAGAGGAGGACAGTTTTATTTAATAAAAAAAAGCATCCCCAAGGGTCCAAAGTCATTATTTCATTATTTTTGCCTGAACTGTTAATACCAAGCATAAGTACTAGAGAGACCCAGAGCCCTGGGCCCAGCATGCCACGTGCAGTCTGCACAGCATTCAGGCCAGGCTGCTGAAGGTCTCCAGGATGCTGTTATTCCCTCCAGCATTCCCAGGCTTCAGAGCTCAAGGATGAGCTGTGTTTCCCATGTGCAGGTGTAGCAGCGTCCACCACTGCCCTTAATCAACCTGTGATTATGTAGCTTTTGCAGAAAGTAGGCCAGATTCCATGTGGTAGGGTTCTGCTTTGTGGCGTGGTTGAAAATTTGGCACTGGCTGCCTAAGTGTAGCTCTTGGCCTTGGATGCAAGAGTGGATCATCCAAAGCCATCCGCATGTGGTACAGAAAGCAGATCTCTGGGACAGAGATCACAGGGTCTGGCAAGATAATCCACCTCTCTTCCCTTTCTCTGTGGTGTGAAGGAATTGTGTACACAGCCTTGTTTTGCGCAGGAAGAGAGTGGCAAATCTACAGTCAGTTTAATCAGGCTACTTCTGCCATCCTGTGGGTTGAGTTTGGTGAACTGGTGCTTATACAGAGTACCTGCACAGCCTTTGGAGAGACCTAGGCAGAGTGGCCTTCCAGGAACATGAATTTGTAAAATTTCCCACATTGATCTATCTGGTCTGTGTTAGTGAGAGTGCCTTTGCTAAGGGCCATATACATCTGCCAGCAGTAGTCTTAGTCCACTTCCACATCCCAGAATGGAGCACAAGATGCAAGAGAGTGAGGTGGCAGCAGCTGAGGTTTGTTCTTAGCAGAAACAAACTCAAGGGGGTTCAGTGCTCCTCTCCACTCACCTACAGCCAGACATCTCTGACTTCAGTGGAGCTAGAAGAAAACAACATCTGAAGTGCTGTTCAGCATTGCGCAGGGGGACTGAGGAACAGAGGCATGGTCTCATGTGGCAGCAAGCACTGTCCATCCTTTGCCCCAGACTGAAGTCAGGCTGAGGCATTTGCTGGTTCAGAGCACTGGTCCTGCAGAAGGTGCATTGTGTCCTAGTGTGTTGTCTAGGGAGCTGGAAGCTCCAGTTGCTTGGTCGAATGCTTTGCTGCCTCTTGCCTGTAAGCTGTGCCTGTCTTGGAAAGGAGAGCATGGACACAGATGTGGGCAGTAGTCACATCTGAACTGCTTGAAGGCCCCATGCACACTTACTTCTGCTTGTCAGGGCACACAGGAAAGCTCGAACAGGCAGCTGCCAACTGCTGCCCCTTGGACAGCATGCTGTGAGTTAATTCCTCAGCACATCCCTGCAACTTCCCCTGGGACCCTTCAGCTACAAAGATGATGCCAAGAGGGCAACCAGATGCAACAGGCACCTCTAAGGACCAGGGAACTGAGCAGGGGACTCAACCGAAACAGGCTGTTTGCATCCAGATCAGTGAGCTTTGGGCATGCTGCTGTGTAGTCTGGCCCACAGTGGCAGAAGGGGCAGATGTTTAGATTTTTCTCTCCTTGTTATCACCACTGTGGGAAGTTTTTCTGGTACATGCAGGTTTAGAGTTTGCCCTTTCTAATGCTGGAGAGCCAAAGCTGTGGTGGTGAGCATGAGCAAAGGGGCATGTTAAATAAACAGGCTCTGTTAAAGTTCAGTGCAGTTAGTCTTCAGTTTCATCAGGGTTTAAGCCTTTTCTTCCAGCGGTGGTTTGTGCTTGCTCTTCCCAAAAACCAGCTTGCCAAGTCCAGTTGGTGAAGACCATTGTATGGGCCTGCATTATGCAGGCACAGTAGGATGGTTCCTGCCCTGGAGCACTGAAAGCCTAGACACAGTAGTTAGAAGGGAGATAAGATAGGTCCCAAACAACTAGAAGGATGTGCCCACAGACATTAGCACCAGAATTAGGTGTGACATCCAGACTGCCAGTGTGACAAATTATCCCCAGACTGTCCCTCAGTCTGTCCCTGAGTGATAGTGCCAGTCTGTCACTCACCCCAAGAGTGTCCCTCACAGTGATGCCCAAGGTGTTTTGGATGTCTGTTACATGTTTCATTCAACTCTAGCTCAACAAGACTGTGTGTGGCTGGTTTACATCTCAGGTGCAAGTGCCTGTGGTCCATGCCTGTGTTCCCCACCTGTGTCGTGTCAGCAGCTGAGCCGGCAGCAGGCAAGGGCTGTCCAGTGGGAGCCTGATTGCTCAGAAGGACAAAGCCGAGGGAATAGCAAATGTACGGAGTCCGTATCTGCCAGGGATAGGGTGTACTGGGAGCAGGGAGGAGGCTGGTTCAAGGCTGTTCTGTGGTAGTATTCAGTACTGCAGAGCAAGCATGACTTGCACCTCTTTGGAGCTGCACCCATGTGGATTGCTTGCACCTGTGTAAATTTTTTGTACCTGGGACTCTCTTATCCTTCTCCTTGGACTTCCAGGGGAGAAGAACCCTCTCCTGCCTCTGCAGGTGTTGTCACAGAGCAGAGAGGACCTGTTTTCAGAATGTTTGCCTTTTGTAAGCAGCAGTGCCAGCTCCTCTGCCAGGGATGTACCCAAGTGCAGGTAGCAGTACCAAAGCAGCGTGGCAGGTCACAGTCCTACCGTGCTGCCATGCTCACTGCTGCAGCTCCTGGAAGAGCAGCAGCATCACTGAACTGAACAGCTCAGTTCTGCCAGCAGGCCCCACACAAGCCATCAGGCTCTCACAGTATTGCATCCCTGTCAGCTCACTTGTCACACTGAGTGCTAGGTGGTAGCTGCTGGAAGGGCCTGTCTGACAGCAGTGAGCAAAACTCAGGGTGTTTGGGCAGAGCCTACTCAGTTCGGTGCATCAGGAGGTTGTGTTGAGGCTGTGGGTCAGTGTTGAAAGCCAGGGCATCCCCATTTCCTGGTGCTGGTGCTGTAGACAGGAGGCTGCCTTGCAGCAGAGCCATCTTTCTGTCATTTTTTCCATCAATTGTCTGTCACATCTGCCAATCTAATGATGACCGGCTTAGGTTGACTCCGATTCTGAGGCTTATTAACACCCTCTTGTGTCAGGCTCAGTGATAGATGGCATATCAGTCCCTGTTTTATTTCATGTAGTGTTCATGCTGGCCGCCCATTACCCCACCCCAGTTCACATCACAGTTTGCTGATTTAAACTCATCATGGCAGAACAAACACATCTCTGCAGCATCTCTGTGAGCTTGCGGGAGGACAAGACGAGGGTTTCCTTCATGCCCGTAGCTCGTGGGCTTTTGCAGAATGGCCAAGGCAGTCCACCTGTCATGGATGGTCCAAGCCCACCATGAACCAGCTCAGTCATCCCTGCTGAAAACTTCCCTTGTTCCAGTTGGGTTGATTTTTCTGCCTGTTCAGTCACCTGACCTGGCTCATTGAGCAAGGGAAACAGAAAGGAGCAGATCTCCCTGGCAGCCAGCAGTGACAGTGGTGCTGTTTGACAACACACCTTGGCTCTGGGTTTCAGCCCCCTGCAGAGCTCCTGCTTGTCCAACTACCTTATGCCAGGGACTGGAGCAGGATGAGGGGCTTGTAGGGCAGGCCAGAAAGGCATTGGGGCTCCCCCTGCCAGGAGGGGAAGGAGGTGGCCTTGCTGCTCCTGTGCTGCTCCCTGAGATTGCAGGCCAAGGGCAGGCTGTGCGGGTTGTCCTTCGCGCTCTCACGCAGTGTATCTCCTCTGTCGGTTGCAGGGTGCCAAGAAGCTCTGTCCCCAGTGTAACACCATCACGTCTCCCGGAGACCTTCGGCGCATCTACTTATGAAGGACCCAGCGGGAGGATGGGACCCAGCTACTCGGGTCAGCTCATCACACCCAGGGGGAGAAGAACGACCACAACACAAAAAAAGACGTTTTAAAATGTAAAGAAAAAACAAACCAGAGACTCCAGACATGGACTCATGGATACAGGAGCAGTGGGGAGCCTCGGCTGCCAGGTCCCACATGTTGAGACCTCCTTCAGCATCTGCAGCGGGCAAAACCAACTCCCTTGTTGTGAAGCCCCCTTTTATAAAACCAGTGTTCCCATCACCCGTTCCCTGGAGCTGGCTTTGCATTGCGGATGGCTCGTGAGCCCTCCTTTGGACTGTGTTGTTGACCACTCTGCCCCCAGGAGACTGGGGAAGGGACCCTTGGCAGAAAGATGTTAAATAACCTGTAACTTGTGTTCTTTGTTCAGTTTGTTTTGTTTTGTTTTGTTTTTATTTGTTTTGGTTTGGTTTTTGGTTTGGTTCTGTTTTGGTTTTTTGTGGTGTTCTAGTGATAACAAAAAGGTTTAAAGAAGAAAAAAAAAACACACCCAGGCAGAAATGAAGCACATGTAATATAGATTATATATGTTTACAATGTTGTGTATAAATGGGATAGACTCAAACATTACATACTAATAAGTTTCCCTTTCTTTTCTTTGGGTTGTATTTTTTTTAAAGAAGAAAAAAAATGAGCAGAGAACATTAAACCCATATTTTTCTTGGTTCAGCAAAGTTTTGGCATTAAAGTCATTAGTTTAAAAAAGTATATATATACATATATATAATATAAATGGTTTAATGTTCTGTGGTGTATATTTCCTCATTCAGATATGAAGTTAACAGCTTTTAGTAATGGCTGTAGCATTGCCCATAACTTACAGAACTTATGGGGAGTAGAGGAGGTGGATTTTTGTCATTAGTTGTAGCTAATGGGGCTATTTATAATAGAATCGTTATCCCCGGAAAGACACGGCTTTTAACTCCTCACCGGGGGCCGAGCAGGGCAGGGGGATCTGGCTCAGCCCCCTTCACCTTGCCCAGCTGGGGAGGGGGCAGACGGTGCAGAGCTGGAGGGAAGGAGTCTGCCAAAGTGCTGCTCTCTTCCCTGGCCAGGAGTGCCTGCTCGAGGGTCCAACTGAATCCCTGTGCCTCCCCCAAGGCCGTAGCCCCTGCCCTGCCTGGCTTTGTTTTCCTCTCCTCCAGGCCGTGTTTGCTGGCTGAATATGCCTGGGCTGCTCCTGGTGCCGAGGCAGGACAGTGGGGAAGTGGAGATGGCAGGGAACGGGATGGTCCTGCTGGTGGCTTTGCCCAGAGGGGCTCCGCCCGGTCCCTTGTGGGACTGGCTGCAGCACACCCCGGCAGTGCCCAGCAGAGCCAGCCCTGCCTTGTGCCTGCTTCCCCCAGCTCCCAGTGTTTTGCCGAAGAGGTTTTGGCACTGGGGCAGAGCCAAGCCAGCCCTGTCTCATCCCCACCACCACCCCCGGAGTCCAGCAGAGTTGCTTCCAGTTGGACCCAGAGGTCTCCCACAGCCCCAGCTTGTCCTGCACAGTCCCTCTTGCTTGTCCCTGTCTCCCATATCCTCAGCCTTAACCAAAGCTGCCATCTGGCCTGGTGTTTTTTGTTATTTCTTTTATTGTCAGAACCTAAGAAATAGATACTGATCTGTTTCCCAAGGCGAACACATGCCTCATGCTGATTTCTCCCAGCTCCCGGAGCAGTCATGGGGTGCTATCTTTCCAAAGCCAGAAGACATGGGGAAGCTCATCTCCCCCACTCCTATAGAGTCTTTCTGAGCAGATTCCACCTGGCAGCACAGTGTGGCTGGGGTTTTTTTAAGACAGTGTGGAAACAGCAGTGGATGAGCGATTTGGAGCTGGGACCCCAGTGCTGCTGGGCTGCCAGGGTGTTTCCAGAGACGGAAGGGGTGGGAAGGCAGGATGCCTGGGGGATGATGGTCCCATCACTGCTTCCCTGCCCTGAGCACGGAGCTGTTTTGCAGAGAACAGACGCTGGCCTTGGCTGTTTCTGAGTGAGTTCAGAAGGATCCCACTGCACCCAAAAAAACCCCAAACCAAATTGAAGGAGCTGTAATGTCATAAACATCATAAGGTGACAATTCCTTAATTGGGAGTTTCCCAGGTCTCCAAGTTCATGGCAGCATGGTGGTCTCTGAGACCAGAGAGCTGCAGCCTCCCCTCCTCAGGGAGGTGTGCCTGCAGAGCTCCCAGGGACCAGAGGAAGCCAAGGTGCTCTGGAGGGTCCTGCCTTCTGGGGCAGCTGCAGGCAGGGGCAGGACAGTCACTGCTGGGTAACCTGCAGCACCTGGGCAAGGGAAGGGCAGGCACTGCTTGGGCTGGGTTTGTAAAGGGAGAAAAACTTGGGGGGGGATATGGCTGAGCTGCAAATGTGCTGGTGCTGCTGAGGTCTGAGATGGATTTGGAGACGGTGCAGTAGGTGGGTGTGGGAGGCAGCCAGAAGGGGGGAGAGGGCATGACACCCCAACCCAGCCCTTCCTTGGAAATAGGCCCTGGGAGGGAGCCAGGCTTTGTGGCAGGTGTTGTGGACCAGCCGTGTGCTCTATGTACGTATGTGTAAAACCGTATGTAACTAGTCATTGGTTCTTTGTTTTGGGGGTTAATTTTGTTTGGTTTTTTCTTTTTTGTTTAAATTGTAAAGCCATCCCCTGTTTTCAAGGGGGGAGCTGCAGGGGGAAGGCTGGGGAGAGAGGCATCCCAGTTTGTAACAGGCACCTGCCACTTCCCCTCTTCTGCAATGAGTTTAAATGATTTTTAAAAGAAAAAATACTGAAATATCAGAGTTACTTATCTTTGCCCAAAGAATCCCAGTTGCACAAAGCGATATTCCGGTGTGTCGATGATTGTGTGTCAGTGTATATTATACAAAGAGGTACTTGTCACTCCCGTTTGTAAACTACATTTGACATTAATTAAACAAGTATAAATCTTCTCGGGTGCTTTGCGCCTCTCTGTTTCCCTTTGCAGGCGAGAGGCAGCGGAGGAGACATCCCCCCACATGCCGCAGCCCCTGGATGGGGGTTATGTCCCAAGGGGGAGTCCTGGTCCTGTTTGGGATGCAGGGACAGATGCAGGGGGATGCTGGGGCAGGACACTCACCATGGATGGGTTCCCCCAACTGGTCCCCCGCTGCAGAGCCAGGAGGGCAGGGCGAAGGGCATACCTCAGGGGACACTCCCATAATGAAGTCTCACCACCTGCATTAGTTCGGGGCAGGAGGCGACCAGGCTCAACAGATCTATACGTCCTGCATTAGGGGCCCTCCCTGCAGTGTAGGGTTACCCCGGCACAGGGACTGGGAGGCTGCCGGGGCAGGGGGGCAGAGGTCGGGTTCCCCCCGGCGTGCGGCTGGCGCCGACGCTTTTGGTTTACAAACATTTTGCAGACGGGTTGATGGGGTGTTTTCAAACCCCTCCCCGTGGCTATGTCCCTGGGGATGGGGTGCTGGGTGCCTCCAGGCTGGTGGGAGGTGGCAGCAGGGTTGTCAGGGTCCTCTTTCCATCTGCTGTGGCAAGGATGGGGGAAGGGGTGGATTTGGCCACATTTTTGGCTGATGAGAAGCAGCAGAGCATCTCAGCCACTCTCCAGTCTGCATTCACCCCAAAGGAGGCCTGAGGCCAGGGCGAGGGGCAGCAACCCTCCCTCCCTCTCCACCCACCCCGCAGCAGGCTGCTGATATTTTATTTAAAATATCTTTAGGAAGCGGAGGACCGTGATGTATCGGATATATTGAGAAAATGCTAATGTGTAATAGCGTGTGTCAGGGGCCTCGTTCATCAC